TAGCCAAGCACAGAGACTGAGCAGAGAATCTCTCCTCCCTCAAGAATACCCCAGAATAATGCTCACATATAGAAAATCTAGCCTGCTTATACTGTGAATATTAGTGTAGTATAATATAAATCTTTTCCATCATTCAGAAAGCTTCCGGATCTCAAAGTCAGTATGGGTCTATGTTCAAAGATGGCCTAGACACGAAAAAAAGAACCAACTGCTTTTAAAGAACAATCTTCTGTTTTAGTTTGACAACAAAAGGATCTAACTCAAGGCCATATGTGAGCTCAGAATGGAAGAATTTGTCTCTAAAAATGTGACCCTGGCGACTTTCTAATATCCTGTGTAGGCATCGCTTGCTTCACTGCTAGCTCTAGGTGATCTGGGGTGGAAGCACCCTAAGAAATCACAGTGCTAAAGTATGGCTGAGAGACCCCTGGAAGACTCACACATATCATATTGAGGTCCTTGGCTGAGTTCTACCCACTGACTTCAGTGTAGACTTAGAAAGGTGTAACTGTGCTTAGGATTGCACTATCAGAGCTTTCTAAGGAGAAAGTGGGATATAACAAACAGTAAATGAAAATGTTACCAGCTACTTTGGAAAGAGGCACCTTTCTTTCCCCAGCTCTCTGTTTAGGTTCTACAGCATACTGAAAAATACAGATTAATCTATTTGTCGAGAAGGGTGGTGACCCACAGTACAGATGTGAGTTAATACTTTGAGACGTTCATCAGAACAGAAGTTAGTTTAGATGGCCTTCAGATCTTTTATAGCCTTACGAATAAAAGCATTATCTCTTTTCCTGCTTTTAAATGGTGAATATTTTTCCATCTGGCAACTGGTGGGGGGTATTTGGAAATATTACAGGGAAAAGAATTAGCCAGGAAAAGAATCCTTCCTCAGCATGCTTCTCTAAACTTGCTGGAAACTGAACAATTAATCCAACTGTATTCTCTCATGTAGTTTGTATATATGCACAACTTTCTACTATACTTGCTTTCCAAAAATCACACAACTGTTGTGAAAAACTAAGTTTCCCAAGCTTATCTTAAATAATAAAGCATAACAGCTCTCTTCTGCTCTCTTACCAAGACTTTGTCAAAGAGAATTAAACCAGTATTAAGAACTTTGACCAACTTTCACTTTAATTTTACCAGTCAGCGTAAATTACTTTTGTGTGCAAAAGATAAAAATAAAGAATTGGGTATTGAAACAGTACTTTCCAAGACTAATGAAACTGCTGATTTCATTGTACCAGTCTTAGAGAAAAATCTCAATATTCGTAAACAGAATCTGGGGGAAAAGGCAATGCAAGTCACATGAAGCTTGCTTTGTGATTTATTGGTAAAACAGAAGAGAGGCTTGGTTTATCCATCTTTTCAAGGTAGAAGAGCACAAATGCAGTATCTTCTGCAGCTGGCCTCTTTTTGCTTATTCAGTGGTGACACATCATCATTCCATGGGGCCACTTTTTGACGAATTTGGGTATTACTGCATTTGTAAATAAACCCCTGCTCGATTGCCCAGCACTAACCTTCTGGGTTCAAGCAGGGGACTTGGATTCAAAGTTCCTTTGTTTCCTTTTCAGCTCAAAACCCACATTTGATAACTGGAAGAAGCTGATGCTAAGATATCTGGACTCAGATCCCTGCAGTCCTATCTCCATTTGCAGCAGGACTTTGAAATGCTGGTATTTCACCTCCCCAGCTCCAACCTCTGACAGACTGCAGGTTAATTAGCTACTTGTAAAACAGTTCAAGACCCTCACATTAGATGATGTGAAACACAAATTATTTTAGTCATTTGTTCTGACTGGGAATGGCACCAGATAATGCAATGCAGAAAGGAGAAAGCAGCATTTATGCTAACCCAAGGGCTCTCCAAAGAGCCCCCAAGCTTCTATTTTGTGGCAATACTCTCTCTGCAGGATATCTAGGAGGCTGTTTTATGCATAAAGAGAAAAGCAAACCCTCAGAGAACATGCTTTTGCGTTACGATGCAGGCAACCCCTTTTGCAGGACTGAAGCCTGCAGCTATCAGCTCTCCCACTGGGAAGCCAGGGATTCAGAGTGGTACAGGGAGCAGCTGCTACAGAGGGGAAATTTACAAGGGAAGAGAGCAGTTTAAGTGTAACTTGCAAAAATCAAGGGACAGCAGCCTCAGGTCAGAGGGTAAATTTTAAAAGGAGGCCTCCCATGAGAACACAGGGGAGGGTCGTGTGATTAGTTCTGGAGAGAAAAATGCTTCCTTGATTTATTTTAAAAATTAATTTGATGGCTCTGGACTGAAAAACAACAACAACAACCACCAGTGAGCACCTGACACGTCTCTTCTATGAGATAGTGACAATTGCAACCTCTATTCAACTGTATGTACCAGGACCTTTGTTATCTGTAGGAAAAAATATTTAGCTTAATATATTCTACACTGGCATTAGTTTCAAAGCTACAGATTAACTGGAGAGCCACCCGCTCAGACCTGGCCTTGTTCCCCTAATCCCACCAGGTTTAAAATGGCCTTTAGCTATATTCTGCTCCCCCCCTTCAAAACCAATTTGAATAGAAAATAAAATGTGGCTCCACAGAGACAATGGCTTATTGTAAAGTTTTTGCTGTAATGCATGGTGTGAAAACCTGCAAAGACACATGTAACCAGGCTATTCTGTAATGAAAAGCTATAAAGAACACCCAGGTGGGCAACACAATACTAGAGGCTAATTGAAGCAACCAATAATATTCCTCAATAGAATTCAAGTGTGCTGTTCACAGAGGGAAACTCTACTTCCTAACAGGAGGGGGGAAATCCTCAAGACAAATCACTATAATGGCTAATTTTGTTGTCGGTCACCTTGCTTGGTATATACAAGCAAACAGAAAACCCAACAAAGATGCATAAGCTAGTATTCAAAGAATTCAGATAGGTCTAGAAATCTTAGCAAATCAATTTCTGACCTTGGGCAAGTCATTCCCCTATTGGTATTTTCGCCATGTGTACCATGGGGATCAATTCACTAATGAAACTAGACCACATTCATTTTCTAAGAGCATCTAAGTTACATAACACTTAGCAGTTATAACTCTTATATTTTTGTCAAATATTGGGCAAGGATAGTTAAGGAAAGGCCTTAACGAGAGCTTAGAATTCATATTAAGCTTCATCCATACAATTCTACTCAAAGGAACCTTGGCCATAAAAGCTGACAAAGCATATATTCTTCCTGAAAAATGTGTACTCCTAGTGACAGGGTTAATGATGTTTGAGCAGCCTCTCACCCTGACCTGCCTCTCCACATATTCCAGCTTTAATGCACTTGCATGATTTCACTCTCTCCCCTCCCCACCCAAGAGCAGTGAGTGGGGAGAAATGTGGCCTCCACGTCCAGTTATTTTCTACATGGCTGAACTCCCTGATGCCAGGTTCAGTGCCTTACTGCAGAACCGAATGCATTAAGTGTTCAATGTGCAAACCCCATGAGGGATGGAATAGTTTATTTTCCAAGGGTGAAGGCAAGATGACAGCCTTCTTCCTCCTCCGCAGACTTTTTCAAGAACATTCTCAAGTCTGAAACAATGAACAGATAGCATTTTTCTTCCTCCATGCTAAACTCATATCTGTCAGGATTGAACTTTTCAGCTACCCATAGGAAGTAATAGTTAAAGCCCACTGACAATTTTCAGAGTGAGCTGCACTGTTTTTACTCTTCTCTCACACTATTGTTATTCCTTTGCAGAACATTTCTACAGGAAAGCTTATACCAAACGTCACCTGCTCCAACAAGCTCTGCTTGAGAAATCTGTCCGCTCCCTTTTCCCCAGCCACCAACAGCATGGTGTTTACTCCTTTCAGAGATGCTTGTGTTCAGGCATTAATGGACGTATAACCAACCCAAGACCATGCCCCACTGGGGCCGAATTCTCACTGAGGCGGCAAATGAACCTAGGCTGTAACACTTCAGGTGGTAAATCACACAACTCTTCCAAAAAAAACCCAAAACCCAAGAATTCAATTTTAAACAAACCTAGCCCACTATTTCTCAATTTCAGTTTTCTACAGATAAGGAAATTGTGCATGGAAGAGCATAATTACTGGCAGCCTTCTCATGGAATTGGAACAACCCAAGCACATATCTACCACCTCATATCTCTGAAGCCAAGTTACTTAGGGTTTGATTTTTCTATTTTTCCCATTCTGAAGAGACCTGCCCAAAGGAATATTATCAAAGTACAGATGAAAGAGAGTCAAGAACCTGTCTTAAAGCACAATTCCACAGTCACATGTTCAAACCATTATCTGACCTCCTGACACAAACTGTTCAGCTCTATATAGGACATAGAGTCAGAGGTTATTAATGCAAGCCTGTGCATACTTATCTTGGCGCAAGCTCCACTGAATACAGTGGTGGGTCTTTCTTCTGGGTAAACATGCACAGGATTGCACTGCATCGACAACCTACCGAAATTTTTCATCAAAACAATTAAGCGAAAACAAAAAGAAAGGTAATATTATTTGGTATATTTGCAACAATTCCTCCAATGTCTACTCATTTGCCATAGTAGCACTTGCCCTGAAACCTTACCTTTTTGGAGATTGTGGAGACATTCAAGCCAAATCTCTGAGCCCTTTCCTTTAATTTGTCTATATTTACCTACAAAAGTCATAGGAAGCAGTTTAATACAAATTCCACTTGTATTCAATTAAGGAAACCTAAACAAAACCTTTATTTCTGGCAAAGAAAATTATGACACCTGAAATAGAGTATTTGTTTGGATGACTTTGCTATAACCCTGGAAAAAGGTTCTCCCTTCACTGAACTGTCAAGACTGCTTCTTCCCACCAATCAGAGCTGAAGGAGAACCAAATGATGGCATCCAAAGGCACAGTTTTAAAAAATTCTTCACACTACTTTTAAGAGGGGATTTCTACTATTTGTTTTAACAGACCTCAGAGCACAAAGACTATTTCCTTAATTTTGATGTTCATCAGTCAGTATACAAATGAAACTACCATATTTGTTAATTCAAACCCAGCTAGTACGTTGCTTCCAATAAACCAGATTTAATGTATTTTTAAATCACCTAGTTTGTATTTCTATTATAGCAGATATTGTACATACCAACCAATTCTGCAAGCTAATTAACACAACAAAAGAAACTCAAGTATTAGACGGAAGAAAACATTTCCACCAAAGTTCATTCTGTTTTTGAAGCATGAGTAAGCTGTATAATTATGTCTGGGATTAAGCAGCATTTAGTTTAGGGTAGAACCAAATTTTCACAGGGCTTGCTTCCCCCCACCCCAGCAAAAGGTGACTTTAAGGGACATATGAAGTCCTCTAAAATAGCAGCACTTCCCTAGAAATCACCTTCCAGATTATTTAATTAGTTATATGCTACCTTTCTGCCTGACAACAGGCTAGTTGTTAAGACACAACATGATAAGACTAAAACATTAAGGAAGTAGTGAGAAGGAGGGAACTTGCTGGGCATCACACTATGAAATGCTTCTAAGTGGCCACAACAGACAATTTGCACTGCAAATTTAATTTGCCTCTTTCCAAGTGGCCACAACAGACAATTTGCACTGCAAATTTAATATACAATGCAACCCTCCCTCCTCCCATGACAAACTGCCAGTCTCTGTGGATCCCCCCTCCTCTCGTATGCGCTGCCTAGAGATGTGAAGGCCCGGAAAAAAACCGGAAAAATTCGGGGGAAAAACGTTTTTTCCCCGTTTTTTTCCTGAAGCCTTTTTTGTTTTTTTCCGAAAAATTGGAAAAATTGAAAAAAGAAAAGAAAAGAAATTGATTATAGAACGTTTTATTTTAACATGATGAATAAAATATTTTAAGACAAGGTGTTCAAATATTTTCCAAATCATTTCTAAAATATATATATATGGTATCTGATTGATCTAATTTCTGTGCACTGAGGACAAGCAAGTCCTAGGTTACAAACTGAACTCTCCAATGCAAGAACAAGATGCATTTCTTCCTTTAGGAGGTGCGATTGTCAGAAGAAAGTAAAAAAGTTTCAGTTTTGTTTTTGCATGTGGCTGGGTATTCTGTTTGTAATAATTGTTTGGATACACTATATTTTTAATATGCTAGTTGTGATAATTTCATGCCAAGTAAAAATGTCCATAGTCATATTTTATGTTCCTAAAGTAACAGAATGACTTTCAATCTAGAAAAGACAAAAGAAATGCTAATGTAGCATTTTTTTCAAATTTTCCAAAAATTTCCGTTTCCCCCCGAAAAAAACCCGGGAAAAACCCATGTTTTTTTCCGAGCTTCAAAATTTCCGGAAATTTTACATCTCTAGCGCTGCCACAGCCACTGTTAAGACCAGCATTTTGCGACAATATTAGGTGCCTCATCCTTCCACTATTGCTTGCCCAGGAAGGCAGAGGATCACAGCACTGCAGATGGCCTAAAGTGGCAGTTATCACCTTGAAGGAGGCAAACATTTTCACTCCTCTTCAATAATCCCCCCCCCTCCCTCCAAGAACAACTGCAAAAACTGGGAGCCCCTTCTAGCAGGGGGCAAACCTGTTGTACAAACAGAATGCTCATATATTGACACAGTTCTGATTTGGTCAAGAGTTACTTTAATTTCCACTTTCCCCCAGCTTCTTTTGAACTATTTCAAACATGGTATCGACTGTACAACAACATTCCACAGCGTAGTCTGAGAAGGGGCATCATGAAGTCCAAACAATGAGAAGTGGAACAACTTAGATGTGACAAGGAAAGGCTAGAAAGTTGCAGGAGTCAAGGCAGGAAACAAGAATATGATCCACTGTTGAGGCTGGGGGTGGGGGTAGGAAAAAAAAGGTGGAATTTTGCAGTATCACAGAGGAAGAAGCAACATGATTTTGTGGCAGATTGAATATGGGGAGCAAAGAGGAGAGAGAAATCAAGATAGTTAAGATTTCTAGTTCAGTCTACTTCCTTTGCACTAGAACTACTGAATCTGTAGCTTTGACATGGTCACTAGCAGGAATATTGATTATTATGAATACTTCCTAAGGCAATAAACATATCATTTTAAGTAATGGAGTAAAAAGGACAATGACCATGCATGATGAATCTAGTTGGATATTCTCTCATGCATCAAAGGAAGCACAAGTAAAAAGAGAAAGTACAACACAACAAAAAATATTTTAAAAGTATCCTGTCACTATATTTAACACCAATTTTGAGATAACCATTCAATAGCTATGGTCTATCAATTTCATTTTCGTGGGAAAGGAATTTATCATAACGGTCTTTCTGATTTAAAGTTATTTTGAAAGTCAAATACAATAATTGAGAACAAAACTACTTACTGTAGTCTTACTTTCTGCAGCTAGACCTGAAATTAAAACAAAAAACCCAACATTTTAAATTATACCTGAAACAAGCGAAACTTCTTCAGATCACTTATGCAGGAGATAAAAAAAGTCAGACTCATCCTGCCACTTCTGTTCCATGTGAAATTTACAGAATACAAAAAATGAGAAGTAGGAAGGCAAATGTATTCTCATGTTTGGTTACAAAAGTATTTATTTTCATGACCGTGGAATCAATCCCTAACTCCTTTTCCTCCAAATCCAAGAGGAGAAGTGAGAGAAGCCTTGTAACTTGCTGCCACAAAGATTCAACAAGTCAGTCTGATCGGTTTTAATAGTACAGTTCATGAAAATATTGTTAAATGAAGGCCATCTGTATGCAAACCTTAAAAATTGCACCGCTGAAAGAGCAACCTCTGCCAGTCACTCCACTGGGGTCATGCATGTGACCTGCAGCAAAACAGTCTAACTATCTTCAGACAGCATGTATATATACTGCATATTTGTGGCAACATTGCATCTAGTATTTCCATTTGGAGGGAAATCTCCAAGCATACATAATCATATCATAGGGGTAGGCTAATTGTTAAATGCAGTCTTGTCTTGGTGTGATTATTTTTTTCATAGTTTGCCCCAATGGTCAGTTTGGCTCACTAATGTACAGCAGTTGTTTCTTGTTCTGGCTCATCTCAGACCATAAGACTCTACCACTTTTAAGGTAATGTTACGTGCTTTGATTTCCAGGGGTTCAGAGAACAGAAAACCTGATTTACAGATTCTGGTTTTCCCACCTCATCTTCAGAATGAGATTATACTTACTTGCATCAAGGGAATGTTGCAAACAGACTAAAAATGTACCAGGTAAATTAAATTTTCTAGGAGTGATTCTCCCACTGCCAATTAATAATGCCAATTCTCAAGACTTTCAATGAATAGCCACACTGAGAACACAGACATTGCTGACAGCACCCAAAAGTTCATAAAGGCACCTTTTTTCATTCTTTGCCTCCATTTCCCAAGGTAATTGGGAATAAAAGGGCAAAAGTTTGAAAAGATCCCAAACAGTTGTTTCAAAGGAACTCTGCTTGACATTTACATACCTTTAGCGGAAACTGTAGGTATACCAAACCTGTGGAGAAAAGTGAAGATTCAGCTACAGATTCCAAAGTTTAGATTCTAGTCCATAATAAAAAGCATAAAACATATTGATGACAATTTATAAATTCTGAATAACCCTTCTAAACACCCAGGGAATAGCTGGTGGTCATTGGATCAGATTAGCAAGTAATACAGTTTGTTTTGCTACAATACAATTGCTATGATACAACTGTTAAGACGCCACAAGTACTCCAATAAAGTATATTCTGGGCTATTCTTCCTTGTGGTAAATTATTTGCCTTCCACCTTTGGTAATGACAATTCAGATTTCATGAGGCTCAAAATACTTAACAGTATGACAACCATGGAATGCGATGGCTAGAGAACAAAGTTAGAGTCCAATGGTACCTTTAAGACCAACAGAGTTTTATTCAAGGTGTGAGCTTTCGTGTGCATGCACACTTCATCAGATGATGAAATGGAATTACATATCATAGCTGTATACATAGGCTAGAGACAGCTTTCTGGATTACATATTTTCTTTTTACTTTTTTACTCTCTTCACTACCATCTGTGGTACTCTCATGGATACCAGCAGAAGTAATACAGAGAAAAATAACAGTTCGGTGTAGTGGTTAACTGCGCGCATTGTAATCTGGGAGAACCGGGTTTGATTCCCCAATCCTCCACTTGCAGCTGCTGGATGACCTTGGGAAAGCCATAGTTTTGTCAGAGCTGTTCTTGAAAGAGCAGTTCTCGAAAGAGCAGAGCTCAAAAGAGCTCTTTCGGCCCCACCTACCCCACAGGGTGCCTGTTGTGGGGAGGGGAAGGGAAAGGAGTTTGTAAGCCACCCTGAGACTCCGAGTGAAGGGCGGGGTATAAATCCAATATTTTCTTCTCTTCTAATAACATCAACATTTAAGTAAACAATGTATTCAATTTAAGGATGGTAATGTCTGCTGGCTATAAGAGGGACTAAATTCTCAATTTTGATATGCAATTTTGTACTGATTTTGGCATGTGAAGGAGGGATTGACTCCTAACTGGAATAGGACATTATACTACTACTTCCTGTTCAAATCTTCACAAAGCAACAGAGTCCCTGTGCTGTTACTCATAACTGTACTTCCCCAGATCCTCCAATGAAGCTACATCACCTACTTAAAATAGCTTAACAAAACTTCCATCAGTACATCCCATGGATGCTAAGCAGTAGATGGAAGCAGCAAAGAGTGACAATATCACAATCAGACTTACCGAGCTGCTCTTGCAGCCTTCTTACTCTCCAAACTCACGGGAACATTGAATCTCTCTGCCCGTTTCTGCATTTTCTATCGTAAGAAACAAAGATATCAATGAACACAAATTTGATGCAAGCGCTACAGAGAATCAGCACACCTTCTAAGCCCTCTGACTTCAAAGGACTTAGAAGCATATAAATCTGCTTAGGATGGTACCGTAAGTTATTCAGTTCTTTCTGAACTGTAAGTTGTATTATCCAAATAGGATTCTTGATTTGGCACTTCTCTTATTTTCACGACAAGAGTCACTAGTCCTCTTTAATGGATGCTTCTGCCCTAACTTTTCTGAATGGCCATGACTTTATATTAGCCCTATAAATAAGTATCTTAACGGCGATTACGACATGCTGACAAAAATCTACTCTCCCTATCCCAGATCTCCTGTGGCTTTTGTCATCCACCACACCTTTGTATACAAATAACGAGTCAGTCATTAATTTGTCCTCTAAACTACCAAAAATGTAAGAGCAAGAGCGAGAGATTGGAGGCAGAACAGTGTGACCAAATGCCCCTGCAAGTATATAACACGTAACTTGTTTCTAACAACGACTGTACTGTTCCAATTTCAGCATATTCATCAGCCAAAATATGTAGCACTAGTACCCCATCTCAAGTCCCAATTACTATGGGCAAATCTGGCCTATTAGGAAGACCTTTTGGGAAGAGGTTAACTTTCCTAGAATGAAGGGAACATTTATAGCTGTTTTACATCAGATAGGGGCAACTCAACTAGATGGGTCCAAAGGTTGATCCAAGATGTCATTTATTATCCTTTAGGTCCTTAATAAAGCACTTTCTACTCTTTCCTCAATGAGACTGGAGACAGTTCTGGAGGCTTCACTTCAAAAAGGATGTGGACAAAATCGAGAGGGTGCAGAAGAGAGCGATGAGGTTAATCAAGGGTTTGGAGACTGAGCCCTACGAGGAAAGGCTAAGGAACTTGGGAATGTTTAGTTTGGAGAAGAGATTGAGGGGGGACATGATTGCTCTCTTTAAATATTTGTAAGGCTGTCATTTGGAGGAGGGCAAGGAGCAGCAGAGGATAGGACCTGAAGCAACGGGTTTAAATTACATGCAGAAAGGTATCGGCTGGATATTAGGAAAAACTTTTTCATGGTCAGAGTAGTTTATTTTATTTAGACATTTTTACCCCGCCCTCCCCGCAAGCGGGCTCAGGGCGGCTTACAAGGGGCAAAAGCCCATACATAAAATCCAATAAAACGATAAAATCATAAATAATAACACTACTAACAACTATAAAGTGCTTCCAGTATCAGATGGTGTTGAGTGGTTATGATGGTATCTTCCAACAGCCCCATTGGGGTACCACTGTCCAGTAGATGGTTCGTGCCAGTCCCATGTTCTCATCGCCACATAGTTTATGGCTGGGCTACCAAGGGCAATTCCCGATAAATTCGATGGTATTGCCACCATTGGTGGTGGTGGCAGTGGCGGCCCCTACGCGAAAGCCTAGCGGAAGAGCTCCATCTTGCAGGCCCTGCGGAACTGCATAAGGTCCCGCAGGGCCCTGATCTCCTCCGGGAGTTCGTTCCACCAGGTAGGGACCGCCACTGAGAAAGATCTAGCCCTTGTAGCAGCAAGCTTTACCTCTCGGGGGCCTGGGATCACCAGACGGTTCTGGGTCCCTGACCGAAGTGCTCTTGGGGGTTTAAAGGTGGAATCAGCTGCCTAGAGGTGGTTAGCTCCCCTTCACTGATAGCTTTCAAGAAGAGACTGGACGAATATTTGTCAGAGATGCTGTAGGCTGGTCCTGCATTGGGCAGGAGGTTAGACTAGATGGTCTGTATGGCCCCTTCCAACTCTATGATTCTATGAGACTGCCCCAGCACTGTATTTTGAAGACTGAGTTGCCTAGCATTTAGTATGGGAGAAAACTTGTCAGCAACTATAAATTAACTTGGTGATATGAAGAAAACTGTAGTTTCTTATAAAATTAGCATAATAAAATCTGAAAGCAGCAGAAAAAGTAAATTTCATCCAAGGACAGCCTCTGGCTAGAAGGTACAGGAGCAGCAGCCCTGGAATAACTATGAAGTGAACAACTAGCTTTCCTTCATAGCTACAGGAAACAAGTGTCAGCTCAAACTGCTCATAGCTGATTTGGATACAGGGAGAACAGAATTTTTTTTTTTAAATTCTCTTTAAAATAAAAACGGAAATTGTTCTGCAGGACATTGGCATGAACCCAAGAACATGTGCTTGTACAGAGTTTCATGAAAATGGCTGCATATTTCATTCAGTAATTTTGCATGAAATACATGATTCAAGCTACATTTGCTTTTGGCATAAAGGAAAGACATTCAGAAATTACCTCCTTCTAGCATAAGAACATAAGAACATAAGAGATGCCAATGTTGGATCAGGCCAAAAGCCCATCCAGTCCAACACTCTGTATCACACAGTGGCCAGAAATACCAGTGCCATCAGGAGCAAACAGATAACAGAATGAAACATGTAGAAAGCAGAGAAATAAAATGTTTCCGTGAAGACAGATAACTCCTAATGGCTAATCCTTTGTTTAGAATTCCTTCTGAAGGTTACAGGATATTTGATTAACAAATGAAAACAGTCTATTAAACAGCATACTAATAACCCCTGGCACTCACAAACATGTTAACTCATGAACTCAGCCTACCACTAATTCTGGCAAGTAGTAAACTTGTTCACTCTACATAATTTATTTTGACTAGAAGAGTCAAGTTTTCTTCCTGGATAGAAAAATATGATTTCCTGCAGGCAAATTTGACCTCAGGAGGTAACCTAATTGCACCTCATGTGACCCTTAGGCAGTTCAAGTGTAGTATCATCAATGACGAACTGGGAATAAAACCCTGGAGTTCTGGGAATGTCATTATACATCAGGTGCCTTCATACATCAACTGAAAAGTATTTACATTCTGTGATTATAGAGGTTCACAAAACATCAACAGTTTTTAGTGTGAATGGAGCTTGGCAGAACTGTAATCTGAAAGCAGGAAAAGAAAGAGAACATAGTAAAAAAAATTAATGATCTGTTGATGAAGGCTTCCCACAAAGTTTGGAAGACGTCATTCCATCACCAGCTCCATTTCAGATAATTTTTCTATTTATTGTTTCTGGTGATTTGCCCCACTGAAGTAATCATCTGTAATTTGTGACATCAGCCATCCCTAGCTGTGGTCAGTTTATGTTTTAGAGGTGGCAGTTTAACAGCAGGGAGACAGACTGTGTTTTCACATTAGGTTCACTAGTTATGCAAAGATGGAAATGAAGGATTATAGAAAGCCAAGCAACGGTGTGTGTGTGGGGGGGGGAGTGTGCCAAGTTTCCCTATAACTCACCAGCTCCTTTCACTCCTTTGCAGGAAAGACAAACTTAAAGCTATACAGAACACAACAGCTCATAACTTGTGCAAAAAAGTCCTTTCACACAAAGACACCACAAGCCACATTCATCTACTGACTGCAGAGTTGGAGAAATGAATGATGTGTTGCACAGGGAACTATGTTAACAGAGGTCACAGAGCAGACAGAAAGGGTACGAGATCAAGGCTCATGTGATATAACCAAATCCACAACTAGAATATTCAAATTAAAACCAAGTGGCGAACTGGCAATGCAAGGCCAACCAACCAACCAACAAGAGACTGGAAAATTAAGTCAAAAACATGAAATGCTGCCTAAGCCTCGGCTACATGCTAAGAATATGGAAGGGCCAGACATTTAAATGTTGAAGCCTACAGGTTAAAATGAAGGATTAAATTATCAAGAAAGCTTACCTCCATCTGTGGAATTTCTGAAGTAATTTTCACCACTTTCTTTTCTGCACCCCTAAAAAAGGCAAATGAAGCGGATCAGAGCCACACACAATTTTTGCTCAACATTTCCATCTGATATAGCTTACCAGTTTTTCAGACTTTGATTGCAATGTTTAAAAATTATGCACATTCAAGCAATACATGTTTTAATGGTCAGAGCAGCGCTATAAGGGATAAACACTGGGTGTGTTTTCTCCCTTCAATAGATAAAGTTTGTGGTGCTTCCATGTTCCATCTGTAGCCAAGTAGGATTATTTGCTGCCTGCAACACCTGCAGGAAGCAATTGATCCTGAACAAGTACAAGTTCTGAGAATTTCATCTGGCTTGTCATCCAGCTCTTGCCCTGGTACCATCAAAAGAAAACTTGTACAATTTATGCTACTTGTTAAGATCACTTGAAAACAAATCAGCCAGTATCATAATGCCCCTGTATAAATCGATGGTGCGACCTCATTTGGAGTACTGTGTACAGTTCTGGTCACCACACCTCAAAAAGGATATTATAGCATTGGAAAAAGTGCAGAAAAGGGCAACGAATGATAAAAGGGTTGGAACACTTTCCCTATGAAGAAAGGTTAAAATGCTTGGGGCTCTTTAGCCTGGAGAAATGACGACTGAGGGGTGACATGATTCAGGTTTATAAGATTATGCATGGGATAGAGCAGGTAGAGAAAGAAGTACTTTTCTCTCTTTCTCACAATACAAGAACTTGTGGGCACTCAATGAAATTGCTGAGCAGTTGGGTTAGAACATATAAAAGGAAGTACTTCTTCACCCAAAGAGTGATTAACACATGGAATTCACTGCCACAGGAGGTGGCGGTGGCTACAAGCATGGACAGCTTCAAGAGGGAATTAGATAAGCATATGGAGCAGAGGTCCATCAGTGGCTATTAGCCACAAGGTATAGATAGGAACTCTCAGTCTGGGGCAAATGATGCACTGTATTCTTGGTGCTTGGGGGAGGGCTTCTAGTGTCCTGGCTCCACTGCTGGACCTCCTGGTGGCACCTGGTATTTTTGGCCACTGTGTGACAGTGTTGGATTAGATGGGCCATTGGCCTAATCCAACATTAGCTTCTCTTATGTTCTTATATCCAAAAATACAGCAAGAAACCTGATTATTCTGAAGATGAGCAGTCTTCAGCTAGCAAAGATGAGAGAAAGTAAGTAACAGTATGTGCTGAACCTAAACGAGTCTAAGGTAGCAATGAATTCTGGAAGGTAATATTTACATTCATGGGATTCTAGTACAAAAAGATCATGGGATACAAGAGAAAAAATCAAATGTTTAAGGTGGCAGCATGGTATCTTGGCAAAGACAAGGTCTTGACCAAAATTGGACTCCAACCCTGGCGTCATCATTGATATATAAGCAAGAAAACAAATGAGTAGCTTGTTATTTTCTTGCTTGGTTTTTTACATGGTGACGACTCTTGTATTCTAGCCTTTCCCTGATCCTCAATTATCTGCACAGCTTTGTGAGGAATGAAATTATCTTCAACTCTGAATAAAACAGATGTCATTCAACTCCAAAGCATGGGAAGAGAACAGGGCACTGACAAAGGATGAAGATTACTGGTCAAGAAACATCCAAGAACTTCAGTTGTCCGAACTATCACTGTCCACATTTACTGCCTCTCCCATAAGTCAATGTAAACTGGATGGTTTATCTGAACTTCTAGTTATTCAAATATTTGAATGCCCCTGTGCCACTTACATAAACGAGGCTGTATTCAGGATGTAATCACTCATACACCACCAGTACAACTGGGGAAAAAACCTCTTGTCGCTTGCACACTGAGTAGTCTGCCTTAACCAGAAGCACCAAGCCTGTGTTGTGTGCCCCCAAGGTTCTTTATTCCTTTATGACCACACACTCACAAAAGGGCTGCTCTGTTGTACTACACAGGAGAGCTATGGTTGACTTTTGGCCAGGTCAGCGCTTGCTCCATTTCAAACACACACTTCTTTAACAATGTGCAGTGGGAGCCAATAAACAGCCTGAACAAAAATATAATGGAGTGGGCGTGTTTGAAAGTTTATGCTCTGAAAACAGGGTTTTAGGCTTGCAAGAGAAAACAAAGGATGAAGATACAAAGTTCGGAAGTTCCCAGGCTAAATGAAACAGCATCCTCCTCCTCCAAACAGCTCCCATAAAACAGTGGGTCATAGCCTGACTCATTAAGGTCTCCCATTTAGAGAAATGGACGGCTTTTGTTCAGGATTCCTGGACAGTTTTCTCATTTTTATGCCCTGAAAGGTAGTAATGGTTTAATGACTTTTTCACAGGAAGCAATTCAGAACAGGAACCAGGGACTTGTTACCCCTGCAGCACTGCTGGCAGTTTGTGATGCAGGGAAAGGGCACCCCCTGCTGCCTAGGAGCAAACAGTGCACAAAAATTCACACAACCTTACCCCCTCCCTAATTTAAACTTTAACTATATCAAATAGGATTTGGGCTAATTCTGTACTTGTTTGGTAAACATTATTCTATGAGTACACTCTACAACTACTAGCATTCAGGTAGCAGATACAACTACTACAGGTACTAGCATTCAGGTAGCAGATACACTCTACAACTACTAGCATTCAGGTAGCAGATACAGAGCAGACTTTGAAAATGGGAGTAGGTTTTGCTGCTAACATCATTCAACAGGAGCTAATATTTTCACTTATATCCATGCAGAAAACAGCAATAATCTTCCTAAGTACATTTTTGTCTCCACTGTATTGTGAATGTGACAATAGCTGGAACTAAGAATTAATTTGTTTGGAGCTGTACTTACTCTTTCATAGCACATTATCATCTGCAAAAATTACTGGTATACATGTAAAAGCTACTAACATTAGGGTAGAATACAATGCTCTTGCACACTTAAGTCAGTTTGATGGCTTAAAGGAATTAAGCAATAATTCACCAAATTTACATTTCTCACCAATACCCTTCTGTTCACATAAATTAAAGAGGAGCCAGATTTTACCCACTCAGCACACACTAGACTCTTACAGTGACTATCCAAACAATAGCTAAAAAAGGAAGGTATGCTCAAATTTCCTAGCTGCTGGGAAAGATACAACATAGGGTAAAGTAAACCAGAATGCTGCTCGTATTAATAGCATTTGATTCCACAAAGCAAACCACTCGGCTTTTCTACATTCTGGTTGTGCTGTTCTATAAGCCTAACTTCAACAAAGGCTCAGAGCTGCAAGTTTTAGCCAGAAAAAGATCTGAAGTTGAGCTGGATTTTATTTCAGTTATATTCTATCTCCTAGGTATAAAAGCAACATTAATAAAAGCCCTGATATTTTAATACCCTGAATTAAACAGAAAACATAGAGCTTAAATCTGCAAACAGGGCTATACAGAAAAGGCTTGCAAATACTTTTAAATATATCTATGGAATTGAAAAGCCTCACCCTTTGGAAGACCAGCCATTTCACAAATTCCTATGTCAAAGAAGCCCCTATATATCAGCCAGAAAGATGCTGAAAGCCACTGGGAGAGCAATTACATGGAAGTGCTCACAAAGAGCAGTTTGCTGTTTTTTTATTTTAAATTCATGTTTCCCCTCCAGAAGTATTAAGTGATCCTTTGTATGGGCAACTGTTAGGGGAGGTGCTTGCTTACCCTATTTGACCGGTTATTACAGTGTGCGAGTAGCCTGCATAACTGGATAAGGAACAGGCTGTACACCCCTTTAAATGTTCAGTTGATGAATGACATTGAGGACAAATGGGCAATTTGCTTCTCTCAGTCTTTAAAGCATACCGTTGACACAGGTGGCCCTATTTTTTTTTTTACAACTTGCTTGTTCCTTGATGTAGAATGAACACTGCAAACCAAGCTGTGTATCTTTGCTTTGTCTTTGTAAATGCTGAAGTGGTGCTAACAGTTTTCCTTAGACTCTGGAAGGCTCATCAGCAGTGAAGCTGAGATTCCAAGTTAAAGCGTATGGTGAGAAAGATGATATGGTGGTGAGACAGCAGGAAGTGTGATGATATTAACTTCTTAGGAAAAAAGATAAAGATTTCACACTTGTATAACATAGCACCTTCAAGACAGAGATCAAGGGCCATGTGTCTTATGCAACTGCATTATGCAGTCCCACTAATTAAGATTAAGTATGGCACTTCTCTAAAAAAAAAAAAAAAAAAAAAAGATGAGCTTCTAGTTCTATAAGTTGCAAGCAGGCTTGAGAGTACAAGCAATACCCACTCAAAACACAGGAAAAGGAGGTAGAAAAGAAGATCCAGTGTTAATTCATGGAATTTCAAGTGCCTTGCATACTTCCGTACCCCTTCTCCAGGACCAGCAGAAGCAGCAGAAAGTTTTAAAAATCTGAGAGTTCACGTACTATAATTTATACAGGCTACATAAATAAGGTTTTTTTCTGGTGCAGAATTTGTTACCTTGATGCAGAATACCAATTTTTTAAAAGACTGTGTAGCATTTACAAAGCCCTTGAAATTGTCAGGCCACATTATCATAAATAACACAGCTATATTTGGTAAAAGTGGTAACTGCATTAAGCAAACACACAAACTTGCATTAAGAATAGCATCCAACCTGTTCTCTGCAAAAGAGATTTCCTGTGAATGAAAGAACCAGCAGCTTTGCCTATTCCATGTGATTCATGTTAAATTTTAATTTCTAGGAGGACAAAGTTTTATTCTATGACTCGATTATGCTAACAGCAGAGCGTTTTTCCCACACCAGGCTCAACGTGCTGCAAGAAGATTCTGCCACTAGAGGAAGGTCATACAACATAACACCCTGAGTCCAGCCTTCTAGCATTTCAATTTGTGATAACGCTCCAAAACATAGTCTCTGCATTATCACCCTCCCTGACCTATTGCTATAGATTGGGATCTGCCCTCTTCAAGGGCAGTATCTAAGAAGTTAGCTCATATTCATAAGATTCAGAGCAGAGGTAGCATTCAGAAGACAGAGATACACAAACATGGTAATCTTAGACCAAGAGTTTGCTCTGGTTATGAATGATAATTACACTTCTGCTGATTTCTCCATAGGTACTTCTGCTTTGATAGGAGTGTCTACTGGCTTCTGTTCTTCTTCCTGCAATACAATCACACAAAAGAGAAAGGTAAACCTGCAGAACAGAAGCTCCACAAAAAATGCTAATTTGGACTACAGATATGATTACCAGCCTGGTGCTACATGTTGCCTTGGAAGTAAGCCTCATCACGTTCAATGGAAATTAAGTATGCATGGGACTGTGTCTGTAGTTATAGCAGCCCAATGCTACAATCACTGCTCTGGGCTCAAAGAGACATTTGCATATTTATAGTAAGAAAAACTGGCCCAATGGCTACACTGTCCTTTTATTTTTGTACATTTCAGTCAAAGCTCACACATCTTTTCCATTAATGCTCCATGCTTGATAAGCTATTTTACAGGCCAATGAGATGGATTCTAGCAGACCTATGCGAAAATTAAACCTTAGAAATAGAAGCTCTATCCCACCCTTTTTAAAAATGATAGAGCAGACCCCCCACAACAGGAAATGTGGTAAGGTACTAGCCATAACTCCCCCACCCTGGCCTACGGCCATACCACCCTGAACTCCCCCACCCTGATAGTTGAGACTTGGTTCCCTAATTGTCAGTAACTGATATCAGCATTTTTAAAACCATAGGATGTCTAATCATTGATCTTCTGCTGTTACATATAGCTTGTCCTTAGTTGGACTGTGACCCTGAATGTACAGTCAATCACCAACTGCAAGGTACTCTAAATGAATAATGTAAATCCTGGTTTTAGGAGCAACCCATAATAATAAGACCCAGAACTCAGCAGATCCCACTGCCCTCCTTAACAGAGGAGCAATAACAGTATTCTTCTGACTTTACAGATAACAGAAATATGGTTAGCAGCATTCAGTACTGGACTCTTCTGACTAGAAAACAGGTCTAAACTCACATCATTGCCTCCCCTCATCAATTTTTCCCATTTTTCATGGGGAAAAGATAGACTGAAATTATATGGAGTCTTGCAACATGAGACCAATGCAACAAATAATTCTGGGGGAAAATACATCTTTCAGTAGCCTCACTTGGAACGTTACAGGGTATGACTAGAAAAATCTATAAATATGGCAACCTTCTGTAACCATTTGGTGCAAGAACACAAGGAACAGAATTTTAGTATTCTGAACCTGGTTTTCATTTTAAAGAAAGCAACTTTCTAGCTTATATGACTACAATGATACACTTTGAAACCATGTAGATCACCTGTGTATAAAATCTTAGCAGCATAGAAGGAGAAGATGGGATAAACAGCTGAGTAGGTTCAGTGCCCTGTATTTGCTCCTTCTCAAGACTAGCAGAAGTAGAGCACACAAATTTAGCAAGTATGGTAGTCCGTTTAATATACTTAGTTCAGGCCACAAAAGCTATCTTTTTGGAATACAAATTGTGGGTTACTTCAGTGTAGCTTAGTCCAGAGTAGTGAGATTGAAGAATTACTGGGTCTTTTGGATGATAGTTCTTTCTGATCTCTTGATAATCCTCTTAGAAGCCCTATTTGGTAATTATGTTGACATTAGGGATTGCACGTGCAACTGAACTTTTGTGTGTGATTAATCTGGGGGTCATAGACCTTTTTAATAACTGTATCTAGACCAGGATGTGTGAATATTTGAGCTGCAGCCCAAAGTGAGTCACAAATATGAATGAAGGGTCACATACTATCATGCTTCTCCCCCATCCCATTACATTTACTTCCTGGATTAATGTAGGCAATCAAATGCATTAAACTCTGTATCAACATGAAGTGGCAGTTATGTTTATGCAAACTTCTGATTATCTGAATAATTTGAAGTTTTTGGAAGTAACTAGAATAGGCAAAATTGTACTGTTCTTTTAAAATGAGCCACAAACATAACTTATCAACCCACTTTTCAATAGAGAATCCCTTAAATTCATAACTGGATTAAAAATATATGTTCCAGTCTACTCACTCTAGTTATGAAATTCTGAGTCCTCGTTGTGATGCATTTTTATACTATGTGGAACACCAAATCCAAGCCAAATATGAGATCCTCGGAATACTTTCATTGTACAGTCACTTCAATAACAGAATGAAATATTTATGCTAAACAGACTCTTAAAATACACACAGCTTAATCTTATGTGAAATTAAATCTAAGGTCCTTACATTTCAATGGGTTTTAGACTGGAATTAATTCTGTGCAGAATTATATTACTATTCCCCTTAAAGCATTCATGAAATAAGTGCAATGCCAATTCAGAATTCAGATGGTCCCATTTGCTATCTTTTACAGCATCATCTAAAAACAAAACCTTTATTCATTTTTATGGGTAGTGCATTCCAGGCAATAATACTGGTCATCTGAAAAATTAATTTTGCCATGTCTAATGACAGAGTGTGAATGACTTTTGAGTTTAAATTAATGCTGTAAAAAGATAGCATTCAGAAGCCATTTACACTGTATCATTAGAGACATGGCAAAATAATCAGTTACCACTTGGTATTGCTGAATCTATAAACCATCTAAAGATTCATTGGAGATTAATGGCTAACTACTAAACACCAATAAAATACGGTTTATATGTATCAAATGATACAATTACTGTGGTTTCCTAGTCACAAGTATTATTTAACTCCAGTTTTAAAAATATTCCTAATCACAGATTTGTCAGGCGACTACATATTCTAGGTATTACCAGAAAACATTTTAAGCAAATTGTACCAAACACTGAGTAGTTCAAACACAATGGGGACTCCAATAAGACCTGTGGATCTAAACATGATGTTACTGGTCACCATGAAGCTTGTTACCAAAGTGCTGGTGATATAGATCACTATAGAGGTATTATTTAAGAAATTATATAAACTACATCATTAACAATTACATTGCACCTGTGTATAACCTACCTCTGTTTCTTCACCCAAGACATCTTCTTCATTTGCTTCCTCCTCAGCTAGAAGGGAAAAAATGGAAGAAGTCACTAATTCTCCAAACAGAAATCATCTGTATTAGTTTATTTCAGAATATCTCAGACCATCTCAAAGTTACAACACCAGTAATGGGTTTTCCAAGAAAACTTGCACAAATATAATTTAAATACTTAAATAATGTTAGCAGAAGAAGGTAAACACACTATATACAAGCCTGTACTATGTACAAGCACAATGGTTTGTGCACACTTCATATTGCACATTTAGCCCATTTAACATTATGGATCTGTAGCAGCACAATAGCCAAGACAACTATAGACAGACTATATTTACATATGTGGGGTGGAAATTTTCCACCCCATATCACTGTAGAACATCACAGCAAGCTGTACCAGAATTATACACATATATTACTAATACTATTTAAAGTGAAACATATCAAAGTACCTTGCTATTGTCAATAACACATTCCCCCAAAATATTAAAAAATCATAAAAATCAATCTGTAACAGTAGAAACATGTTTAGTATGTTGCAAGTTTATTAGACAGAGTACCATGGTAAATCCTTCAGTGGCAGCTAACTCTGGCTTTTTGGATGCAGTTCCGTCATTTAGGCTAGTGTTCTGTTGGGTTTTCTAACCCACCTAATACTGGAAGTATGTCAAGAACTACAAACACTGTTGCCAGTTCAAGGGTTCTCTTATCCTCTTTGCAGCTTACAGGGATAAGATGATGTTTGTCCCACGTGCTGTTGCAGGAGGCCTGGAAGTGGTGCTACACCACTGTAAGCCCTACTGGGGTGCAAGCAGGAGGAAACCATACATGGCATGGACTGGAACGACTGGCAACGCCTTCCCTTTTCTCCTTCCCCCTTCTGTAATTTTCTGGATAAATATGAGGAAAACAATTTTCTTTCTTTCCACTGCATCTGAAGAAGTGAGCTCTGATTCACAAAAGTTCATGCTGCAGTAAATGTTGTTAGCCTTTAAGGTGCCACTGGACCTTAAGGTGTCACAGAAGTAGCTCTGAAGAAAGTTACAGCATGACAGAGGACCAGTCCTGGTCCCAGCCAAGCAGAAAACTGTTCTGTAAAATCATGAGTATGTAAAAAAGGATCAATTCACACAGCGAACAGCCTATTCATACTCAGAACAACAGACAACGTGAACACAATTATAGGATCATGCCCACTGACAATCCCAGCTCTGTGGAGAGGGGTCATAAACTGTAGAAGTGAAGGAACAAAAAATACAGTTCTACCCCAAACATGCCACACAGGGTCAGAATTTTCTGTTGTTACATTTGTAGTACCACAAAGGGAACTCTGGCATAAGCAATAAGCACTTCACAGCTAAGAACATCAAACCAGCCTAATTTGCTTTTTCATACATACTCCATCTCTTTTGGAAACAAATACTATCACGGCTGCAAGGACAGATCACCCTACACAGTAAAGTAAGAGGATGGGTGAATGTGCCTAGTAATTCCTACCACCCCATCTGCAAGTAACAGGAGTGGTTTGCTGAAAGATCTATGGTATGAACCTTGTGCAACAGGCAGCCCTGGGGAGCACTATGTCCCAGCTCACAATTCAGCTCTTACCAAAAAGCTGTGAGAAAAAGGAAAGCACAGACAGTTTTGCATATGCTTTATGACCATAAGTGTGGCAGGACGCAGGAGGCCATGCAGCTATGACAGGAGGCAGAGAAATGAATGGTTAAGAATGAACTGTGGACAGAAAGAGGCTCAAGTTTGCTAGGCTGACCCAGACAGAGGACTGACCAGGAGTGCTCTATGGAATTAGCCATCCAATGATTCTCCATGCCAATTCTTGGCTACTCTGATTGATTACAGCCACCCCACCCCACTGTATTTCTTGACCTCACCTCAGTTACCAAAGACACCAGCCACTGAATCTTGGGCTTACAGATCATAATCCTTACCACTACAGGTCCTATATAGGGCCTCAATCATCCAAAACACTATGATCAGAGGTAATGTGAAACGGGGGGTGGGAAGGGATCCTATGAATTAAGATGTGCTTCTATGGCTAAGAGATCAGAGAGCAGCCAGTGAGTGAAAGCTCTGGATTCTAGTACCACTGCTGCTTACCTAGTTCCGTGCCTCTTAAAAATGGTTGCTTACTGGATGTCAAATGTATGATTAGATTTATACAGCACATAACAGCTGTGATATAAGCAGGGGCTACAGTGGATACCTGTAGTTACTCATATCCCCCCACCTGCTGCTAAGGTAATTTCTCTACCTTAGGTCAGTAGTTGCTTCCTTCCTTCTACTAAGTCAAGCAGATATGTCCCATTCTCCTTATATCCCAAGAAACAGAATACTATTTTCAACTGTATGGGTATTTCTCCATTTTAGCTATGCCTTGTATAACCTCTGGATATGCATTTGGGCTGGAGGATTTGAAACTGCCTCTCTCAGTTTAGGGCAATACTGTGGGCCATGGAAACAATACAGATCCTAGGATATACCAAGGCAAGCTGGTTCCTGCATCCTTAGGACTCTCACCAAGGGTATGAACTGACAGTAGTGGTGGTGGAACAGATTGGGTATTCCCAGCAACACAGCTGTGACATTGCTGCCTATGCAGTGATGACCTCCCAGAGAAGCTGAGGGTAGGGGAGACAGGCAGTGAAGCCAGCAGTGTTGTCTAGCCTCAGGCGATGATTACTGGGGGTGCTACATTTCTGCTGATATTACAAGCACTGTGGGCATCATTGTTGTGCTTGTTTCTGTTTTTGTTAAACAGGCATTGTTGTTGCTGACTGTGCACTGCATCCTATCTTGCCCGCACAAGCTTAGATCCAGTGCAACACAGCCATCTTGCACTGACCACAGGATCAAGTTGAAAGACTAAAGTGTTATAAAAAAGCATGTAGAGAGAACACTTATTACGTTATGTATGCTAATAGATTCCAGTTAAGCATCCCACATGCCATCCTGTGGTCACCTCAAATGTCTAACAAATCTGTAGTCCAATCTTTAAAACAGTTACTTGAAAATACATGGAAGTAAACTGGACTTACTTCCATGTTAGGCTGCTTAAAACTGCAATGTTAACCGTAATATCTTTGTTCTAAAAGGTGAGAGACAGAAAATTAAAGGGGGGGGGGGGCAGGAGGCGTGAATGAATTCACATATGAACTGCGTGGAGCAAGAACAAAATCTTATTTTCTAGTCACACAGTCAATGTCCACAACAAGATTTCTATTTAATCATGTTGAAGCTTTATAAGGTAAGTCATTTATGGATCCAATTACTGCAGCTCTTGGATGGAAAGGCTAAGAGGAATTTTTCATGACTATTTATGTATGGAAACACAGTTTAAAATTTAAGGCTGTTTCAGCAGAACTCTGTTGGAGTGTAAGAACCTAAAGAAGGAACCTACCATGTTGTTCAAGATAGGTCTGAAGTCTGTTGATGAGATCCTGTTTGTTTCCTTTGGCCTCCAGGCCTCGGGCTAAACATTCTTGCTTCAGCTCAGCAAGCTGCAAAGTAGAACAGACTTTGTTTTAATAAAGTACATGTAATCCATTAGATCTGGAAGGTGAAATGATCTGGAAGGTGATTTTTTTTAAAAAAAAATCTTTCAGGGCTTTGGACAGAGAAACGTTATGCAATCCTATGGTAAAAATTAAGATGGAAAGGGTCCATAAGAATGCGAGGCAGAAGCCAGATCAAAAGCTACACGTTCTGTATAAATGCAGTTAATAATGTTGGGGAAGGAAGACAATCATATGAAGCCTGATGGAACTTGCACTTTTTTGGCACTGCCATTTATTTTCAGTGCCCTCCCAACAATACATAATGGTATTGTTTACATTTCTGGATGTCGAATCAAGTGGTACACTCAAAGAAACGTTTTCTATTACAAGTCAGCCTGCACTTCTATGCAACTGGGAAATACAAACTGTAGCTGTATTAACACTATCATAATTACAAAAATAATCCTAAACCACAAAGTACCTGTTGGAATAAAAAAAGTATTCTTCCTGTATACAACACCTTGGAGCACCAGATCCCTGCAGGCCTCTTTGTAGACACAACTCCACAGAATCAGGGTCCCAGTTTTGTTCTTTTGGTGGCTTGGGGTTCAAAATTTATGACTAACTGCACCTTATAGCTAAGCCAATGTGCTTAGGAGATCCTTGACCTTACCAGCTAATTATTTCCATTTTTGCAGCAAAACATTTACTGCTATACACCCAACTGGAAAAACAGCAATTTTCTCTACAAACCAGAATTTCAAATTACAGATCGGGTCCCCTGATACCTCAGCAGAAGGTGCTTCCAGGTGTACATCTTTCCTGTTTGCACCCCCCAAAAAACTATTTCTGATACTGGAAAAGTTCATTCTGAGGTCATGGGACTCATGAGTTCATAGCCAGGTAGGTCAAGAGGCTCCTCCAACTGGGAGAAGGAAGGGGATGAACTTGTAGTTTGTGCTTCTTCCATCAGCTTAGTGCCACTGATAAAGAGAAGAAGAGAACAGACTGGATTTATACCCTGCCCTTCACTACCCGAAGGAATCTCAGAGTGGCTTACGATCTCCTTTCCCTTCCCCTCCCCACAACAGACACCCTGTGAGACAGGTGGGGCGGAGAGAGCTCTTTCAAGAACTGCTCTTTCCAGAACACCTCTGACAGAACTATGGCTTGTCCAAGTTCATCCAGCAGCTGCAAGTGGGGAATCAAACCTGGTTCTCCCAGATCAGAGTCAGCACACTTAAACCACTACACCAAACTGGAGAGGACAGGGCAATTTTACTGTCTTCCTCCTCCCAACTGCAGTCTCCCAATCTATACGGGATTACACTGCCTCCACACACAGGTCCCACGATCCCAGAAATAAACCTTCCTGGAGTTGGAAATAGGTGTGATTTGGGAAAGACCTCCCATTCTTCCATACCCAGGATCTAATCAAGTAGTTTAATCCCAGTTTGGAATCCGGGGTTGGATGGAACACTTTTTATGTCAATACATCTGAAGGGATCATTCCATGCAAAGCTGGCCATGATAAAGGACAAATACGGTAGAGACCTAACAGAAGCAGAAGAGATTAGGAAAAGATGGCAAGAATACACAGAAGAACTATACAAGAAAGCCCTCGATGTCCTTGACAACCACAACGGTATAATCACTGACCTCGAGCCAGACATCCTGGAATGTGAAGTTGAATGGGCCTTAGAAAGCATTACTAACAACAAAGCTAGTGGAGGTGATGGTATCCCAGCTGAGCTATTCAAAGTCTTAAAAGATGATGCTGTTAAAGTGCTGCACTCAATTTGCCAGCAAATTTGGAAAACACAACAGTGGCCACAGGATTGGAAAAGGTCAGTATACATTCCAATCCCAAAGAAGGGCAATGCCAAAGAATGTTCAAACTATCGCACAATTGCACTCATATCACACGCTAGCAAGGTCATGCTCAAGATCCTACAAGCTAGGCTTCAACAGTACGTGGATAGAGAACTGCCAGAAGTACAAGCTGAGTTTTGAAGAGGTAGAGGAACTAGAGATCAAATTGCCAACATCCGCTGGATTATGGAGAAAGCAAGAGAGTACCAGAAAAACATCTACTTCTGCTTCATTGACTATGCTAAAGCCTTTGACTGTGTGGATCACAACAAACTATGGCAGGTCCTTAAAGAGACGGCCTTGTACCAGACCACCTCACATGTCTATTGAGAAACCTGTATAGGGGTCAAGAAGCGACAGTTAGAACCGGATATGGAACAACTGATTGGTTTCGCATAGGAAAAGGAGTACGACAAGGATGTATATTGTCACCTTGCTTATTTAATATATATGCAGAGTACATCATGTGAAATGCTGGCCTGGATGAATCACAAGCGGGAATTAAGATTGCTGGGGAAAAGATCAACAACCTCAGATATTCAGACGATACCACTCTAATGGCAGAAAGTGAAGAGGACCTTAAGAGCCTCTTGCTCAGAGTAAAAGAGGAGCGCGCAAAAGTGGGCTTGAAGCTCAACATCAAAAAAACTAAGATCATGGCATCCGGCCCCATCACTCCTTGGCAAATAGAAGGGGAAGTCGTGGAAGTAGTGACAGACTTCACGTTCCTGGGATCCCAGATCACCGCAGACTGTGACAGCAGCCATGAAATTAAAAGACGCCTGCTCCTTGGGAGGAAAGCGATGGCGAACCTAAACAGCATGATAAAAAGTAGAGACATCACCCTGCCAACAAAAGTTTGCATGGTCAAAGCAATGGTATTCCCAGTAGCCATGTACGGCTGTGAGAGTTGGACTATAAGGAAAGCCGAGCGCTGAAGAATAGATTCTTTTGAACTATGGTGTTGGAGAAGACTCTTGAAAGACCCTTGGACTGCAAGAAGATCAAATCAGTCAATCCTAAAAGAAATCAACCCTGACTGTTCCCTGGAAGCCCAGATAATGAAACTGAAGCTCAAATACTTTGGCCACCAAATGAGAAGGGAGCACTCACTGGAGAAGACTCTGATGCTGGGAAAGATTGAAGGTCAAAGAAGACGGGGACGGCAAAGGATGAGATGGTTAGACAGTGTCATAGATGCAACGAACATGAAATTGAGCAAACTTCAGAGGACGGTGGAAGACAGGAAGGCCTGGCGTGATCTGGTCCATGGGGTTGTGGAGAGTTGGACTCGACTGTGTGACTGAACAACAACATCTGAAGTATACTATTGACTTGATACTGTAAGAACTGTTCTTATTCAGAATCTCTTTTGGAAGCAGGAGGTCCTCTGTGAGAGAGGGAAGATTAGGCCATTTAGGATTTATAGGCTGCATTTAATATTTCTGTATGTATTATTAGAAAAACTAGAGCCTCCTAGAGGTAGCTCAGAACTAAATGCAGCAGCTCAGTTGCACACAAGTATTTAAGAATAAAATACTCTTGCATAAAACAGAAATGCATTAAACAGCCTCTAACTACAAAGAAGTTACAATACAGCCCATTGTTTATATACTGCAGTTTAAGAACAGGGGCATTGCACTACCACTGTAATAAAAGAAATTATGCAATATGCATACTGGTTTGTTCAAGACTTAACAAGCCCAAGGCTCCCAAGCTCATTCACTTGGAATTCACTCATTCACTGTTGGATATTACACATATTCTTTTCTATATGTGTTTGTGCCTTTAAAAGGCGCCTGAAAGGGATAAGTTTTGTTTAACAGGTGAAGCTTTACTTTCATTTCATCTCCATGCCAAGGAAAGATTCATCTGCTAAATTCTGTGACATATCACTGCTAAAGGTATTTGAGCAGGGCCAGAAAAAACATGGCACCTAACTTTGTAACCAATAATACCTGCATCGCCCAAAGGCATAAAATAGCACTGTCCTAGGGAGGCAGATATTTTTTTGGCTTCTTTGGAGCTGTGCAGAAGCAAAGATTATATACTCATTTCTGCTATTTCTCCTATTATTATTTGCATCAGTCCTTGATTCCCTTTAAACTAGGTTTTGATAAAATTAGCAAATCTTTGCTAGCATCAGCCACAAGTAAGATGAGCAAGAGGAGGGATGGGTGGAGATGCAGAAGGCACAGTACATGATCAAGCGGCCCACTCATGGGACCTCAGCCATGGTTAAGAAATCACAAATTTTACATCTGTTATGGCATTTACTGTTGTAGGGCATCTAGATGCTCTTTCTCATAAAAAGGCATTTAGATGTTCTTTTTCTTCTGGGGCAAGTATATAAACTTCTTTTTACAATACACACAGCAATTCATTAATATGCCCAACTGCAGCATCCAATAAGTATCAGGGTTCCTAGACATATATACATCACTGCAAAACAGTGATTAAATGTTTAAATGCTCAGAAATAACACAGGATACAGCTGCTACAAGACCAAGCTCTGTTCTTCTACAATCGTCTTCAACAAACTAGTACAGTTGTACCCCCTAGTGGAAGATTGAAGCAAGGCGTTTGAGAGAACTGGCAGAGAAACATCCTAAGGTTGCAGTACCTGTGCCTTCTCTTGATGCCTACATAAAATAAAATGTATAGATACTGTATTTGGGGAACAACCTGGCAAGAAAATAATTTAAAAGTAGGAGGTGGGGGTATTATTTCACACACAATCATTTGACCTTGTCAATGCTTTGCTCTGCAGTTTGATTCAAGCTCCTGGTGGCAGAAAACCTTAGCCTGGAAGATGGTGAAAAGCAGGTTCCTTAGATTCACTTGGAATTCACAATAGTAAGAGGAAGTTCAGAAACAAGTAAAGGAAACAGACCCATTTCTGCAGCCGACGCATATGTATATTTACTTGGAAAAAGCTTTACTGCTTTCAGAGATAAGCATACACACAATTGCACCCTTAACACAATGCATGAACCCCATTTTGAGACTTTAAGAAGTGAGGAAAAGAGGCACTACTAATACTTTCCTGGGTACCTAAATGGTTCAGTAACAGCTGTGGATGATCCTTCCACAGACCAGCTTCCAAAAGATCAAGCTGCTGGAAGAAAATGGTGACTGGACTCACTTACACCCAAGGTTCTAACTAAAAAATGTTGGGCTTTACTACCTACTCGCATTCATATAAACAATTATTCCCATATAGTTTGTGGTTGGTAAGGGATCAGCGTGCTATAACTGAGCACAGCAAAAAAGGGCTTTAACCCAGCCAGCCTACTTACCGTGGAATGAGCTCCAGTGAACCTGCCTACTTCCAGATGGGGACTGGGGATCTCCAGGAACTACAAACCATCTCCGTACTATAGAGATCAGTTCCCCAGGAGAAAATGGCTGCTTTGGAAGGCGGACTCTATGGTATTATGTTCTATTGCCCTCCCCAGACCTTCAAGAATTTTCTCAAACCGGAGCTCAATGGGTCCTACCAACTTTCAAGTAAATATATCGGCTATTCAGAATACGAAACAGAGCGGAGACTAGAACGTCAAATTCCTGACGATGGGGCTTGATAGTTAAAAACAGGCACACAACTGGAGACCAGGCTAAAGGGGGAAAACATGCTTCTTCCGGAAAGGGGGGGGGGCAGACATGAGATCGATCGTCGCGTACCTCTCCCCCAATTCCATTCCCCTCACGGAAAGCAGGCAGAGAGTGCGGGCAAGGTAAGCCCCACACAGGGAAAGCAGATTGTTAGTTAAGATTGAAAAACGAGGTACCGTCGCAAGTCTGAGGAAACGGGCTGGAGTGAAGACAGGCCGGCTAAAACCTCGGAATAAACAGAGGGGAAAAAAGCTTCCCCCCACCGAACAGCAGCGACTTCCCTCAGTACCTTCAACTTATGCAGCTCTACTGTCTCCGCCGCCATCTTATCGTCACCTCTCGTAACAACTCCACCTCCCGCCGGCCGCCAACCGTGCGTGCGCTTTTCATCCAATCGTGGCTGTCTTCTCGCTTGAACTTTACACCTACCAATATCCCTTTTGTTCATTGGCTCCTTTTACCGGGAAACCGGAGAGCGACCGAGACTGGCGAACGAATTTAGCCAATAGGGAAGAAGTGAGGAGACTGACCCGCTCGCCTATTGGTCGGATGACGAGACAGGGACGTGGGGTCGTTTCCTGGAAACGGGCTGCGGTGGAGCTGCGTGCGGAAGAAGTTTGTATGGGGCTGCGCCCGCCTTCGTTGTTGTTATAAGAAGAAGCCGTTACGGAAGCCGCCAGGTGGGTGCACCACAAACAGCAATGGGGGTCGGGATTCAAAGCTCCACTTACATAAGAACATAAGAGAAGCCAATGTTGGATCAGGCCAGTGGCCCGTCCAGTCCAACAACCTGTCACACAGTGGCCAAAAATACTTAGCCATGAGCCTCATTGGATGACCTTGGGCTTGTCACTGTCTGTAAGCCTGGCCTGCTTTACAGGTTCAGGAGGGTAGCCCTAGTTGATCTTAAGCAGACGCTTTTATTGTACTTCACAACAAGACAAGGAAAAACGGCCCTGCAAGGTCAACTATATGCACCCGGCACACCTCTGTCCCCATTGGAGGGTTTGAATTTCCCACCAGGGGTGCTATTGATGTACTCTAGGTGGACTAGGATCCTAGGTCCCCTTTGTGTTTGGGGACCAAGCTCCTGCTTAGCCGTGGACCCCTGGTGGTGGTCCACGTACATAATACCCCTCCCCCCTTAGTTCCGATTCAACCTATGTTACATAGTCCTGCAGATAGGTGGGGGGTCTGCGCTCTCGGAGGGAACGCCGGGATGCTGGCATGGGGTTGCTTACGGCTGCCTCTGGCTGGCTGATCGTGTCTGGTAGCGGCAAGGGCGGCGATGGTGGTGCATAGAGTCTTCGGGTTCTGGTGGTGTGGCTGGGGGCTCGATTGGTGGGGGCTCACCTGTGCGGGGGAGTTCGGGCCAAGCGCTGGCCTGCGGTGCATAGAGTCCCGGTCCCTCAAGCTGGGGTTGCTCTTCAGCTTCCGGGAGCTGTCGCCGCCTGAGTTGGTCGATATGTTTTTTCAGGAGTTGGCCGTCCTCATATGATACCGGTGACTCGGACTACCCAGCCGGCAATCCAGGAGGGCCCTCGCCCAAAGTTCCGGATGAACACGGGGTCGCCCAGAAAGAACCCCCGGGGAGCGTCCCTTTGTTCCATCAGCCTCCTCGAGTCCAGTGCCCAGTCTGGATGTAGGCGGTCCAATAGGATTGTGGGACGCTGGCCCATCAAGAGTTTAGCTGGGCAGCGCCCCGTGACAGGGTTAGGTGTTGTCTGCTGTGTCAGTAGGAAGCAGGCAAGCCAGAACTCCCAGTCCTCATCTGTGATCCAGCTGAGGGCTTCCTTTGCTGTGCGAACCATCCTCTCCACTTGTCCGTTGGTCGCGGGGTGGAAAGGTGCTGATCTTACGTGCCAAATCAGGTTCTGCTGGAGGAAGTCCTGGAACTCTGCCAACATGAAGGCATTCCCGTTGTCGGAGACTATCGTGTCCGGCAGCCCATGAGTGGAGAAGATCCAGCGGAGTGAGCGTATGACGGCCTTTGTGTAGGTGGTGGACACGGGGCTGATCTCCAACCATTTGGAGTACGAGTCTACTGTTACTAGGAAAATCAGCCCCTGGAAGGGTCCGGCAAAGTCAATATGTAGCCGGGACCAAAGTTTGTGTGTAGACTCCCACGACTGGGTTGGCGCGTTTGGCGGGTTTGGGTGCACCGCCTGGCAGGTCTGGCATCTCCTCACCCAGGCCTTGATCTCGGCGTCGATTCCCGGCCACCAAACGTAGTTCCTGGCCATGGCCTTCATCCTTACAATTCCCGGATGCGTCTTGTGGAGAGCGTGGAGGACTCATCGCAGGGCGTGGAGAACTACGACCCTGTCACCCCACAGGAGACAACCCTTGAACGCTGACAGCTCATCGTTTTGGGTTGCGAATGCTGCAAACTTGGGGCCCATGGAGGGCGTGGGCCACCCCCTCACCACCCAGCCCAAAACCCGGGAGATGATAGGGTCACTCATGGGCTGATTGGGCAGCAATATCCATTGCCTGAAGGGGCAGCCCGGGGAGGCCTTCAAGCATCAGGACCCTGGGGGTAGGGGCCGGGTCTGCGTCTCCGGACGAGAGGGGCAGTCTGCTAAGGGCATTGGTGTGCCCCATTGCCTTGCCCGACTGGTGTTCCAGGTGGTAATTGTAGCCGGCCAGGAAGAGGGACCAACGGAGATCCATGGGCGAAAGTACCTGGGGGGGGGTCTGTTTCTCCGCCACAAATAAACCGAGGAGAGGCTTGTGGTCAGTTACAATAGTGAGGGGGCGCCCGTACACAAAGTTATGAAACTTTTTACCCCCGCCACAATCGCCAACCCCTCCTGGTTGATCTGCGCGTAATTGTGCTCGGCGGCCATCAAAGTCAGTGAGTAGTATGCCACGGGGACCTCCCGGCCGTCAAGAAGAAGGTGGCCCAGAACTGCGCCAACGCCATAGGGGGAGGCGTCGCACACGAGGACTACAGGTAGGGAATCATCAAAGTGCGCCAACACCTCATTCGAGATGAGTAGTTCCTTGACCCCCTTGAACACCGCCACCTTCCTCGGGCCCCACAACCAGGGCACTAATTTGTCCAGGAGGCGGTGAAGAGGCTCCGCAACCACAGCCTTGTGTGGCAGAAAGGCGTGATAAAAGTTCAGGAGTCCCAAAAGCACCTGAAGTTCTGCCTTGCATGTGGGTCTAGGGGCCTCCACGATGGTCTTGACCTTGTCCCTCGCCGGATGGAGGCCAGAACACATTGACCCTGAAGCCCAGGAAGTCCACCTCCGGGACCCCAAGGAGGCACTTCTCCCGTTTGACTTTGAGGCCTGCTGAGTCAAAGCGGTGAAGGACGACACGGAGGCGGGAGGCAAAGTCATCCGGGGTGGCTGCGGCGATGAGGACATCATTGAAAAATGGTGTCACCCCAGGGATCCCTTTTAACAAGGAGTCCATTAGTTGCTGAAAAATCCCCAGGGCCACACTTATGCCAAACTGTAGCCTCCTAACCTTAAAAGCCCCCCAGTGCGTTTCAGTAGTCTGGGCCGTTGCTGTTGCCTCTTCCACTGGCAGTTGTTGGTACGCCTGTGTGAGATCTAACTTGCCAAAAATCTTAGCCCCTGCTAAGGAAGCCAACACAGGACTCATGACCGGGACGGGGCAGGCATGGTCGTGGAGGGCCTTGTTCAATGTACACTTATAGTCTGCGCAGATGCGGACGTTGCCATTGGGCTTGATGGGGGTTACAACGGGGGTCTCCCACGGTGCATGGGAGACCGGTTCAAGGACCCCTTGTGCCACTAAACGGTCCAGCTCTGCATCGATTATCGGCCGCAAAGTGAGCGGGGAGAACCGCATGCGGATGGAGGCAATTTGGGGGTTGAGTTGCAATGAAACGGGGCCCCTTGTATCAACCCAGAGCCCCATCAAAGACCGCAGGGAATTCCCCGCAAGCCTCAGCACAATCCCACGGCGCACATTTATTCACTCCCCCCGACCGTGATGCCCAACGGCGCAAACCACGCCCGCCCCAATAAGCTAACCAAATCCCCCTCCACTACAATCAAGTCCAGGAAACCCTTAAAACCCCAGTACTTCACCCAGAAAGTCCCCACACCCCGTATAGGAACCGGGTTCATCTGGAAGTCCACCAGGCTCAAGGGCAAAGGCCGCAGGTGGGGCCCGTCGTTCGGACAAAGTCTGTTCAGCATTTCCACAGATGTGATGCAAGCTGCTGACCCTAATTCCACTTCCATTTGGCAGGGGGACCCCTCGATTGTGACCTGGACCTGGATCTTTGGGGCTGTGGGCAAGTTGGGGAGGCATAGTACCTGTAGTGAGGGCTGGCTGGTCAGAAGGTAGAGATCATCCGTGCTCTCGGTGGCCTCGTAGTACGCGGAGGCCTGGCAGCGTGGTTGTGGCTGGGGTGGATGGTTCCGGTTGCCTTTGGATCTTCAGACGCAGGCGAGGTGTCCTTGTTTTCCACATGTGTGGCAGCTGGCATCACGGAACTGGCACAACTTGCGCTCGTGCTGGTGCATGGGTAACATCCAGTAGGCTTACCGAAGTGTCCGGAGACTCCGGCGGATCCCGGCAGCTTCCAGTGGTGGGGTGTGCGGACAAGACGGACGTCGTCCTCATCTGAAGTCTCAGGCGCTGAGTCGGGGAGCACGAGATGGGATGCGGTCGGTCGCGGTGGGAGGCCTCGTGGGCGATGGCAAGCTGGAGGGCCTCGTTGAGTTTGATGTCAGATGTGCTGGTCATCTTTCTGTGGAGCTTGACGTCACTGATTCCCCAGGCGAACTGGGTCAAGAGGTTCTCCACCTTGGAGAAGTCGCATTCCATAGTGTGTTGGCGCAGTGCAGCCATGAATGCGGCGGCCGTCTCGCCGGGCTTCTGGATGCGCCCCTGGAATTCCATCCGCTTGGCCAGCGTCGTAGACTTGGGTGTGAGGTACCTGGTCAGGGTGTCTATGATCTCCTCGTACGTACACTCAAGGATAACCTTCAGGACCAGGAGGCTCTTCGCGAGCTGGATGGTGTTCACGCCCCAAGAGCTGAGGAGGAGAGCCCTTCTCTTGCCCGCATTGGTTATCTCATGGAAGGCGAGATGGCAGGTTAGCTGGTCCGTCCACGAATCCCAGAGCTCGGGATGAGTGGGGTCGAGGTGTCCCAGAGCGGAGGCCATGACTCTAGCGCGGAGTGGGGGAGTGGTGTTCAGCGATGCCGGGAGCAGTGTAGGCGCGGTGGAGTTTTCTGGAACGAATCTCAATGCTGCGCTGGAAGGTGAGCCTGGCCTGCTTATCGGGATCCCACCTTTGTCGCCACTGAAAAGTACTGGGTTCGACACATGGAGAACTCGGAGTACGACCTGCATTCAGATGTGTTTATTGTACTTCACAACAAGACAAGGGAAAACGGCCCTGCAAGGCCAACTATATACACTCCACCTGGCACACCTCTGTCCCCATTGGAGGGTTTGAATTTCCCTCCAGGGGTGCTATTGGTGGACTCAAGGTGGACTAGGATCCTAGGTCCCCTTTGTGTTTGGGGACCAAGCTCCTGCTTGGCCGCGGACCCCTGGTGGCGGTCAGCATACATAACAGCAGTAGAAAAAAGTGTGAGTCCATTGGCACCTTTAAGACCAACATAATTTTATTTAAAGCATGAGCTTTTGTGTGCATGCACACTTCCGCAGATACAGTGAAACG